ATAATCTTATCACTATAATATGTGAAAGAAATCAGTGATTCTAATAATTATACTTCTCCTGATAATCTTATCACTATAATATGTAAAAGAAAATCAATGATTCTAATAATTATACTTCTCCTGATAATCTTATCATTATAATATATAAAAGGAAATCAATGCTTAAAAAGAATAAGATTACTAAAAAGGAAACAAAGAAATAAATTAGCAAACTGTTAAAATTTCTGCCATTATTGATTTATTTTTTTTTTTAGTTTTGCTAATATTGAAGAACTGGAAAAGAGTATAATGGAAGATGAATTGGGATATTATTATACTCATTTACCTCATATACTTTATTCAATTATCAATGATCAGGTATTTGAAAATATCGAATGATTGAAAAAAGTATAATAAAATTATTTGATTAAAATATTGTAATTTGTAATGGAATGTAGAAATTATAAAGAGAATTATTACATTTACTATTATATTTTATAATTATATCATTTAGATGATATTGGCTTGTGAAATTTCAAATGAAATTGTACCACGTATTTTGAATGAATGTCTCCATGAATATATTTGGCTCATTTGTCCTCATTTAGAAAGTAAGCTTTTTTTTTTCTCTTACTTTTAAAAATCAAATATAAAGAATATATTAGGAGTGAGAAAGGATTAATTATTGATTGGTTAATAGAATGTATCATATATTAACTATATCATACCTAATTTTTTGCTAAGAAATATATATATAAATATCAAAAATGGCAAAGAATTATTGACTGATTGCGGAGCGGAACGTATTATGTATGAATAAACGACGGAATGTGTTAAGTAAATAGCAGAAATACGTTATATATTAAATTAACATATTTTATATTAATTAAACAGTAGGACATATTATATAATAAATAAACAGCTGAACACGTCATGTATTACAACGGAACATGTTTTATATTAAGTGAACTAGCGGGACAGGTTATATGTTAAGTAAACAATAGGACACATCTTGTATTAAATTATATCGTGACGTGTCAAATTGAATTCCGGTACAGATATAAATTGTTATGTTGGAGAAAGGAAAAAAAAAGCAAGGGAAATTTATTTTTTGATTAAATTAGAATTATTTAAAATTAAATTTGATTGAATATTAATTTCAGTTATATATTAGCAGTTAAATTGAATATATTTATGAATACTTCATCATGCATTTAGAAATATTATAATAAAATAATATAAAATCTTTTTTCCTTTCCTTTTCTTTTCAGTATTTTTTAGAAATAAATTTCTCATTTTTCAGATTCTATCGTCGAGCTGAAAAATAAACGAATGTATGGGAAGGAACAAAATGAGGAATGTATCAAAATTATGGTTATTATAATTTACTTTTTGTCAATTTTTTTTAAAAAATTAGATGTGACTTTTTTTAAATCAAGTAAAACTTTATTACTAAATATAGTTTTCTTTCTGTCAAATTAGATTTGTTTTCATTAAATATAATTTTTAAACATTTTAATTATTTTCAAAACTGAAGTTATATTTTAAAATTTAAATTATTTCAAGATTTGAATTGTTTTTAGGATTTAAATTATTTAAACAAATTATTCATTGTCAACATGTATAATAGATAGCAATTGCGAACAATTTGGATATGTTTGCTGATTCAACGAGTAAACTAGAAAAATATATCGAAGGAATTGGGAATGAATCATCGAATTGGAATGGAATTCGAAATCACAAACGAATTTCAATTATTTCACAATCATCAACAGATAATTCCATTGGCAAACGAAAACAAAAGCGTTTCAATCATAAAATGCAAGGTATTATTATTTGAAGAGTGGAACTAGAAATCATAAAAAATGAAAAGGGGAAATCATTTCCTACTTGGCTAATATTCTTTATTCATTTAGTAATTAGTTAATATCCTTTACCCATTTACTACTTAGTTAATATTCTTCAGTCATTAACCACTTATTTATTCTTTACTGTTCAAATATATGCTTTAACTTTTGCTTTATAATTTTAATCTTTTAATAAAAATTTATTTCTGTTAATCGCGTTCAAACTGCTACTGTAATGTAATTACTATCATAAAATAAATGAATGAATCATAGTGAAGAAAACGATTGATATTTTAACTGTTCAAATTACTCTTTCATTTTATTACATTTTTTCGATGGAAAAATAAAAACAATTTGTTTAATTGTAAGATAATATTATAAAATTGAGCTTGAATGTGTAGTACTTTTTGGTATTTATCTGTCTGTCCTCTCGAATATATGACAATTTTTTTTTTTTAAATGTACCATTTTCCATTGAATATACGGTACCATTTCCATTTTTAGGTGCAATTCATGATGCAGTAAATGCTCTTCGTGATATACCAGCAACATTAGCCAGTATTACACCATCATCATCAGAATATGTTTTGGATGAACTTAATGATAATTCCGGAAAAGATGAAAGTGATGTTGAAATTGAATTGGAAGATGAGGAACCATTGGAAGCCGCTTGGGAGCGTATTGAAATTTTGAAAAGACGTTTCAACGATATGCTTCGGACGGTGCAAGTCTTTCATCTTCTTTTTTTTCCTTTTTATTCAAAATCTTTCTAAAAAAATTTCATATAAAAAGTGGAATAAAATATAGATAGTTTGCTTTACCGGAAAAACGGAATAAGATATAGACATTTTGCTTCATCGGAAAGATGGAATAAGGTATAGGATACTTCTTTGCTTTTACCGGAAAAACCAAATAAAACGTAGACATTTTGCTTTTTTTCATTTCTATTATTCTTAAGAAATAAAAGTTTTGCATAAATAATGCATATAAATTGCGTAATGTTTATTGTTACTTTACAAATAATACCTAAAAATCATGCTTTATTATTATTATTATCATTATTATTATTATTATTATTATTATTATTATTATTATTATTATTATTATTATTATTATTATTATTATTATTATTATTATTATTATTAT